CAATATAAAGTTGATCTGGGATGGCTTCTCCTCAGGGTGGTGTCACTATTTTCTGAAACATAACAAAATTGCCTCCTGCATAACTTGGAATTCTTTGGCTGTATTTATTACCCAACAGCTAGCCTGCTGGTCAGTTCCCTCATGAGTACAGTATGCTGTAGCTTGAAGTATCTTTAGAGTGTGTACCTCTTTTCCCCATTCTCATTTTCCTTTTCTCCTGGTGATCTGTAGTGGGTACCCATAATTTGTTTCACTTTTTGGTTTTTATTCCTTATGCCCATATATAAAGAATTCCTTTGTATTTTGACCTTAATGAGAGAGTAAGCAATCATGGCACATTAATTATACCTTTACCTGACTTATGAAATATGGGAAACACCTAACAAAGCTAAAAACAAAAAAGGGATTTAATATTTTGGGACAAAGAACAAAATTTTCACTGATCCAAGTCCACAGGCAGGAGATACAAACTAGATGCTGCAAAAAAGGCAATTTTGAGTAGTAGTTCTGGAAGTCTCCTTATTTTTCCACAGCTAAACTACATGTGCTGCATAATGGAAAAAAATCTTTTGGGGAATCCAGATCAGTGCTTTGCCTTCTTAATAAAATTCAGGAAGAGAATAGTAGACTTAGTAAGGACTTTGAGGGAGAGGCTCTGAGGTAGAGGACCTCATGAATCGTGAGAAAAAATAATGAGAGGTAGCATCTTGGGTAGATGTAGGACTTTACATTTTGTTTTTTCTTTTTAAAATATATGAATATGCACTGATAGACACAAATAAAATTCTCGGGAAAGAGTTAATATAATGCTTTCCTAGTTGTAAGGAGAAAAAGAATTCTAGTCTATTATACATGTTACCTGCTACTGTGCATAGCTGGAACTGAGGGTCAACTGAGCTATGCACTCCTTCTCTTGCCCCCATCCCAAGGTAAGTCCTCTGTTCCCTAAATGGTAGTGCATCCTGGGAAAAGAGCATAAAGAAAAGTCTCTACTGCTTTTGCTGGACATCCTGCATTTAGTGTAAGGCAGCTAATAAGATTAAACAGGGAGGCTCAGTACAGCAGGCTCTTTTCAGTACAGGCTGGTTTACCTCTGAGGCAAAATGAAATGTAAAGACATTTCAAAACTTAGAGGGCAGAAAACACTGAAAAGATCAGCATGCTGAAATGAAGCTATGGGCCTGGGAAGCAATTCTGAAGCCTGTTCCCAGGGGTGAGAACTCCTGCAGCATGGGTATCACTCTGCAGACCTGGAGCAATTTTGTGGGAATGCTAGAAAGCCAAAGGTCGGGGTGCCGTTCAAGGGATGACTGTTTTTTCTCAGACTGACAAATGGCTTTCAGCACTGACCAAATACGTTTCCTCGGGTCATGTTCTTTTGCTGGCTATCACCCCATGGACACTGGCCAGAACAGAAGCAGCAGGAACGTACCCTCCAACCCTGAGTTAATCTCATGAGAATAGCGAATATAGCTGTTAACTCTCTCTTTGGGTTGCTTTTTCCCATCTGTGTTTTATTACACTGGAATGAGGAATTTCTTACCTAATAATTTTCTTTGTTAGCAGCTTCTCCCCGAATTCATTACTCATGGACTAAAGCCCCCAACTGTGGAATTTGGAGGCAGTCCATTGTTGCTGGAGGCTCCAGGAGTGTACTAAGCTCCTCCCTTCAGCTCAGGCTACCAGAAGAGCTCTATTATAGCTGAAGAAACACTATGCAACAACTTGATAAAATTCTCCCTTTCAAGAAATTTTCTATTCTGGTCATTTACCAGACTACCCGGGTGGGTTGAATTCAGAGAAAAGTGCTAACAGAAAAAAATTATCAGGCAAGATATTTCTCATTCTGTTGCAGTTTTACTCCTCTTCTATTACCCATGGGAAGAAGCAAGCAGTGAATCCTGGAAGTAGGGAGGGAAAGGACAATCAGAGTTTAATTATTATACTACAATAATAGGCAGGAATGGAAGTCGTCCTCCCCCCCCACCTCAATAAAGCAAGAACTTTGTAAATTAAGGAGTTATGTGGGAACCAACCTGGAAGCAGCTTCCTATCAAATGATGCCTTTGCAGAACAATGGTAACTTTACAAAATTTTGTCTGATGAGGCTCATATACTTTTTCTCCCAGTGCCTCTAGGGACTGCTGTGAATAGTTTCCCAGATGCCTAGCATGCCAACTGGTGCATGAGTTTTACATCTTGCTATCAGCAACCATAAGGCCTTGGAATTTTGAATAGAATGAGATGAATAGGATACAACTGGCATATGTATTCCATATACTTGAGATGTGTCTTTAAAGCTCTAAGAATGTTCACTTATACCACAACCTTCCAAGAGTTAGACCAAAATGATTGGAGAGCTGTTTCCCAGGAACTGTGGAAAGAGGAATTTATCTTGAACAGAAAGGTTTCTGGAGCTATATGAATAACCTTTTCTGTATACAAAGGCAGTGAGATTCTTGTATGAATATGGAAACTAATTCCAAAATTTGCCTTTTGGAGGTAATGGCAACTAGAAAGGCCAGCCACATCTTATTGTCTAATTTGTCGTTGTGATTAAACATGATCAGGCCCCCATTTTACTGGCACTGCAATGAGTTTTTTGTTTCTTCTCACACCTGAAATGTAAATTTTACCAGATCAATGAATGAAATCCTGTTTCAGTTCTGTCTGGATACCAAACTATATTACAGGCTAATGGAGACTCCATGCTGAACTATACTTCTCTTCCAATGTCCAGGCTGTTAATTGTAGATGTTCCCAATCTGGATGACAGAGTCCCTTCTTCAAGAGGTCTGGTGTTCTCTTCAGATATAACCTGGGATCCTTGGCTGTCTAGCAAGTCCAAAGTGCCTTCTGGACCAGTGAAGGACTAAAATGAGGACTACAACTCTTCCTTTTCCTCTTTTCTGTATCCTATATATCAGGGGTAGCCAAACTTACCGACCCTCTGAGCCACATATGATAATCTTCAAATGTTCGAGAGCTGCAAGACACGAACAACCTTTACACATGCATTTTTAAAAATATTAACATCCTACTTACTGTATCACGGCTAATTACTGCTAGAGCTAGAGGGCTTGTGGGTCTCCATCCTGGTCGAAAATCTTTGGAAATCTGGTTGATATGTTGTCAAGGGGGTATGGAGGAGCTTGGTCAGATGTTGATTTGTAAGGACTGCACAATGTTTCGATTTTACGAACTTCATTACGGAGTACAGCAATTCACAGCAGTATGTTGTACCAACAGTTGAAATGAATCACACACTAGTCTCGGTGCCCCATTACAGGAGTGAAGCCCCAAATCTTGCCAGCCCGCTAAGGGGCTGAAGCCACGAGCAGTGGCTCACCCTGCTGCAGGGGGAAGCCCCAACCCTCACTCTCCACCACTCTGGAGCTGGAGGCGCGATTGCCAGCTCATCTCCCCGCCTCCCGCATGGTGTTTAACATTTTTATTAATGACTCGGAAGAAAATAAAATCATCAATGATAAAGTTTGCAGATCACAGAAATGGAGCGAGTGGTAAATAAGGAAGAGGGCAGGTCACGGATTCAGGGTGATCTGGATCTCTTGGTAAACTGGGACCCAGAAAACAACATGCATTTTAATATGGCTAAAAAACACATATAATCTAGGAAACAAAGAATGCAGGCCATACTTTCAGGATGGAGAACTCTATCCTGGGAAAAGTGACTCTGAAAATCTGAAAGTCATGGTGGATAATCAGCTGACCTCGAACTCTGAGTGTGACACAGTGGCAAAAGGGCTAAATGCAATCCTGGAATGCATAAACAGGGGAATCTCAAATAGGAATAGAGGAGTTATTTTACCTCTATACTTTGCACTGGTGTGATCGCTGCTGGAATTTTGTGTCCATTTCTGTTGCCCACAATTTAAGAAGGATGTTGATAAATTTAAGAAGGTTCAGAGAAGAGCCATGAGAATGATTAAAGGCTTAGAAAACATGCCTTATAGTGATAGACTTAAAGAGCTCAATCTATTTAGCTTAACAAAGAGAAGTTTAAGGGGTGACTTGATTACAGTCTCTAAGTATCCCCAGAGAGAACAAATATTTAAAAATGGGCACTTCAATCTGGCAGAGAAAGGTATAACATGATTCAATGGCTGGAAGTTGAACTTAGACAAATTCAGATCAGAAATAAGGCATAAATTTTTAACAGAGAGAGTAATTAACCATTGGAACAATTTCTCCATCATTGAATTTTTAAATCAAGATTTGATTTTCTTTAAATAATGTTCTCTAGAAATTATTTTGGGGAAGTTTTATGTCCTTTTTTTTATACAAGAGGTCAGACTAGAAAATCACAATGGTCCCTATGATATTTTCCTAGTAAGTTATAAAACCGATACCTTTTAATTCTCTTGTTGCTCAGAATAATGCCTCCTCTCCCAAATCCTTTCTCTGGCTTCCTTTGTGTACATCATTTTCAAGCATTTTGCGTGAAGCCTTGGAGCTGAGGACAAACTTTAATCTATGTACATCTCTGCTCCCATTGCGTCCTAATTGTTTTCTTGCTCTCCATATTGCTCTTAGTCTTCTGCATAACTACTTCCTATCCTGTCTTGTCTCAGGCCATACCTTAAAACAGCATTCTGTTTCTTCTGTGCCACACACCTTCACTTCCCTTTTCCACTTTCAAATTTACTTATTTAAAAAAAAATCAAAAAAACAAAACAAAAAAACCCTTTTCACCTTTCTCCTTGCTGATCAAAATATACGCTTCTTGTGCTTAACACTGACTCTGTATTGTATCAGTGTGATTAAGATTGCATGGTCGTGGGGCAAGAACTTTTACTTATGTGTTTAGATTGTTGGGTACACATAGTACTCTATTAAATTAGAATAAGTAGCAATTAACACACTAGATGGGTGTTGGGTTTTACTTTGTTTCCCCCCAAATATTCTTTGTAACGACAGATGTTTAATTAAAAGCTGTTAAACAATTTAACTCCTCAGAAGAACACAAATAAAAGCTATTAATGAAGTAAATATCTGTTTAATTTACAAACATCAGTAGTATTACTGATATCAGTCCAAATAAGACAAAGCACACTGCATTACACATGTACATCTAACTTTTTCTGTAAAAAAAAAAAAAATAATAAAAAAAATAAAACTGAAAAAACATCTGCATTTTTTACAGGGTATCCTGGGATTTACTGAAAGAAGAATACAACCCACTATGAATCATTACCAGTTCTACATTGTAATTTAGCAGCAACATATTAACATGGGGAACATTAGGGCAATAAAGTAGTTTTATTATTTGGAAAAAGTCACAGTCCTTGATAGTACAGCCTTTTTTCTTTCTTTCTTTTTTTTAAAAAGGTCCAAGGGAATATTAATTTGTAAAGATCTACTTTCTAGTGTCATTTTCTACACACCATTTTATTTTCTGTAAGTACTGTATATATAGGGAAAATTTACTTCTATACATTTGCCATCTAGTGTAAAGACATTTTCTCTCATACGTTACAAGTTCTCAGGAGGTGTCCTGAATGTCTGCTGTATGTGAGAACTGCAGACTATTATCACTTTCGTTTCAGACACCAAGTAGTGAGATGCTAACGAAAAAACAACAAAACAAAACAAAAACAAAAAAAAAACCAGACCAAACACATTTACCCCAAGAGGACATGCTATGTTAGTTCTATTGCAAAAAATCCTGATTTTTAAGTCTTTCTTTTTTTTTTTAAACAAAATACAAAAATATCAGGACAAATATAAATTAATATATATTAAAGCATTGAAAAACAGTAAAAGGGATGCCTAAAAAGGTTAAGTACAATGTACTTTGATACAATAAATATTTCTCAATGAACCCGAATACTGTATAGAGCTGTTTAGAACTCATAGAAACAAAAATCCATATTATTACTAATTTATCCATCAATAATCTATTTTTTATCATCCCCTTAACATTTATATTACAAAAAAATTAATACTGGAATAGGGTAGATAAACACTTTTTGTATGCTTCTTTTGCTAACATGCTGACATAAAAGTACACATCGTCAGGAGATTTCATGATTCTCACATTTTAACCTCTCCCATCCACTAAATGGACACCCCCTCTTCTGCAGATGCTTAATAATTATGCCACACAAAATGCATCACATACATTTGTTAAACCAATATAATCTGATTCCCTTCACCCACAACTCTTCATCATCTATAACTAAGTAATTGGTATGGTCTGTCAACATAGTAAAATATACTGATATGAAAGTGAAAAAACAAGCCTCATGTTCTGGTAAATTTTTCATCAATAAGCTGTAGGTTGGAAGTCATATGTGTATAATATCAGTTTATCTTCAGCATGTTATAAAGAAGAATCCATGTTAAAAGCAGTTACGTTTCCCATCACTGTTGCAATGTTAAAGGGTCTTTTTTTTTCTTCAAAGCTCCTCTCGGTTACGAAAAGTCTCAGTTCAAGCACTTGAATCTTTTTGCAAATGAAGAAAAAGTCTTTATTCTCTTAATAAAAATAAGTCTGTTCTGTATTTTACAATATATTTCAAATATTTTCACTATGAAGCATTAATTAGTCCGACATGGTCAATAAGGATACAACATTTTCAAAAGACAAGTGTGACAGGGACACATTTAGGAGGGGCACTTTGTACAGCCACACTTCACCACCTTCTCAACCTCGTCCACAAATGAGGACCCATCAGTGCATTCAAAAGAATATTTCCGTCTCTTGCTCCTTAGTGGTCCGCAGCACTGCCCACTTGAACATCCTCCTTTACATTCTAGTCTCGATACCTTCTTGGTCGTCTGGCACGCGGCATACCCTTGCTGCTTTTGGTAGTAATCTCTGATTCGTTCCCCTCGACAAGAGATTTCTGTGAAAAACAAAAACAAAATGATGTATGATTTAAAGATGCAAGTCACAGAATGGTTTATATTACACAGTTTAGCTAAGAAGATGCCATGCTTCTAAATACAATTGCTATTTTAGAGTTTGATTTTCATTATAGATCAGAAACAAATGATTTCTCTCGCATTATTTTCTTAATGTGGAATTTTACCTTCTTTGTGCCCTTTATTTTCAGTAACGTTTATATTGTGTGTATATATAAACCATAAATAAAATGTTAGTACAATTACAAGAAAATTGGAAGATAAAATCTTTATTACACAAATACACATCTTTGTTCTTACATTGCTTGCAGCTGGTTCTGTTTACCATAGGGAAATGTATCATAGAGCATGCAATTTAATTTATTAGCTCTGGAGTCTAATATTATTCAGTCTATTATTTAATACAGGCTATACACATTCCACTAACTTCATAAATTACTGAGGTATAAAACCATCTAAAAATGTGACATCTGTTAAAAGTTTTACCAGTCTATTGTAGTCACACTGATGCACAATACGAAATAAATAAATGCCAGCTGGGGTAAGAGAAAAAAAAAGGGGGGGGGGGGACAGAAAGGAAGTACTTTGACAGACAAAAGGAAAAAAAAAGGTAGGGGAGAAAGTCATCCTGTTTTCATCCATCTCACCTGCATAATTCGCTGTGATATATCAGTTGAAGCTGAGAGGTCAAAAGTAGAGTTTGTGATAAAACTAGGAGCAGAATCATTGGATTTGGCTTCTCAGTTGCAGAAGACAGAGAAACAATAAATACAGAAAGATACAGCAGGTAAAAGGTAATAGTTATATATAGCAAAAATGTGCTTCTCAATAAAAGCAAAAAGAGAAATGTTTTCACAGCAAAACACGATGAAAAAAAATCTTCAAAGTGTAAATATGTAATTAATGGGCAAATTTGTTAGATTTTTCTCTCACTGAGAGAAGCCCTTTACGATGTATTTAAAAAAAACCAACACAAATGTGTATTGTGAAAAAAAAGATTGGCAATGTTTTGATTATTCATGTTATAACACCAAATAATGATAGCATGCTGACTTATTTACCTTTATCACAGCTGTCCCCAGTGTATCCACTGCTGCATTCGCAATATGGTTTCCCAAGGCCGGAAAGCCTGCATTTTCCATGTTTACACCTGATGGACTGGCAGGGGTTAAACAACTCTTCCTCTTCATCACAGAGGACTCCCCCATGTCCCTGCAGGCATTTACAACTGTATGAAAATGCATTGATTGGCAAGCAGGTACCATGTACACATCTACAGGGGAAACAAGCCCAAGAGAATAAAAATAAATTATTCATCAAAGTTTAGGCTAAGCAACATTAACTACAAATACTTTGGATTGTACTCAAAAAGCAATTGCTTAGAGACTTTTTTTTAAATGCACTTTTTCAGTGAGATGCAATTAAGTGGTTTAAACAGGTTTTTTTTTTATAATTGTTTTATATGAAAATTTACAGAAAATACGCTGCAGTATAGGACACTATTCTGTTATTGCCAGAAAACAGCCACTGTAGATGTGTTATGGAAGTCTTGTACAGGTCACAATTAAATAAATCCAGCATTCCTCATGCACCCACACATTTAATGAGAGTTAAATGAACAAATTCCTTAGAATTAAACTTGAACAGTGAAAAGAAAATGTTACTTACCTGTAATTTCGCTTCTTTGAAAGTATCATTTCACAAGATTCTCATGCCTGAGGTTTTGGGCTCTCAACACAAGTGAGGACAGTATCTCCCTAGCTCAAAGCTTTTTGGCCCTCTAAAGGCGTGGCAGCCTGGTGGCTGTGCACAATGCCCGTCTCCCCCACAAATTCAGTGATCATTCACCACTAACTATTATTCCTTCTGGTTCTATAACCTTCCTGCCAGTTCCTGACTGCATGAGAAGCCAGTGATGCTTTTTCCACTGGGATCTCAACATCCACTGAGATTGCATCTGTGACAGACCCAGACCAGTGGGGTACAGGAGTCTGGTAGAGGGCAAATATACTGGTCACTGGATGAGTAGTTTTCTGTTCCTTGAGTGACCAGAGCAGGGGCTGCACTAGAGTAATCAGGAACCTGCTAGAACCAGTTAAGGCAGGTAGGCTAATTAGGACACCTGGAGCCAATTAAGAAAAAGCTGCTAGAATCAATTAAGGCAGGCTAATCAGGGCACCTGGATTTTAAAAAGGAGCTCACTTCAGTTTGTGGTGTGAGTGTGAGGAGCTGGGAGCAAGAGGCACAAGGAGTTGAGAGTGAGAGGGTGTGCTGCTGGAGGACTGAGTAGCACAAGCGTTATCAGACACCAGGAGGAAGGTCCTGTGGTGAGAATAAGGAAGGTGTTTGGAGGAAGCCATTGGGAAGTAGCCCAGGGAGTTGTAGCTGTCATGAAGTTGTTACAGGAGGCACTATAGACAGCTGCAGTCCACAGGGCCCTGGGCTGGAACCCGGAGTAGAGGGCAGGCCCGGGTTTCCCCCAAACCTCCCAATTGACCTGGACTGTGGGTTCTCCCAGAGGGGAAGGTCTCTGGGCTGTTCCCCAACCCACATGGTGAATCTCTGAGGCAAGAAAATCCGTCAATAAGCGCAGGACCCACCAAGATAGAGAAGGAACTTTATCACACATCTTATAAAGACATGACATAGGTACTATGATTACTGTTTTGGCCATGAGACCCGACATATGTAACATGGTCAAACTGTCCTCTCCTGGCTCTCATGAACCCCTTCCAATAGACTTGTGATGTACTGCATCCTTAAAGATTGCCTTGAGCTGCATCTACGAGGTTACCTAGGTACTTCGCTGGAGCATATAGCCCATCACATTCCCCTCAAAGAAGTCTGATGTTTCCCAGGAGGACAATTTTTAATTTTATTTCACCAAACACAGACTGAAATCCAGGGGGAACTAATTCTTTTTAAGAATCAGGAATTATCTGATTGCCACCTCTTGACTTGATGGCACAGGGTCAATGGCTTTCTTCCTAGGAGGAATTTTATTTCCTGTAACGTTCTTCTTGATACACTAGTTTCCTGGACATATATTTGTTTCTAGGGGAACAATTTGAGTGAAAAGAACAGGAGTACTTGTGGCACCTTAGAGACTAACAAATTTATTAGAGCATAAGCTTTCGTGGACTACAGCCCACTTCTTCGGATGCATCCGAAGAAGTGGGCTGTAGTCCACGAAAGCTTATGCT